CAAAAAAAAGAAAAAAAAAAGATTACCTTTGACTCTACATGCTGGGCCTAGGTTTCAATATTTAGTTTCTCTTTAATTCAGCATACAAGGGATGCTTGGCCACAAATTTTGGTTAAGCATCAACATTTAATCATTGCAGGAAATTAACAACAAATAAAATGTGAACTTACCCATTCAACCAGGCTTTCATCGCCTAAGGGCTGAGATTGGTCAACAGGTTTCCGCCCAGTAATAAGCTCCAAAAGTACAACGCCAAATGAATAAACATCAGATTTCTCCGTTAATTTTCCACTAGATGCATACTCTGGTGCCAAGTATCTGGAATCATTCATGTTAATATCAAGTAATCAGCTCAAGGCATCATATACAGCTACAAAATAAGTCATTTCGATTAATATCAGTTTAGCCCACTTCTTTGTGTAGGATAACAGGGCCAATTGGAAAATTTAGGTGGCCGACAGTTGCATAATGGTTGTAAGATGCTGCATAAAGCAACTGTTTGACTGAAGACTAAATCCTGCCCTCACACAAGAGCACAAAGTTACAATTTGGAGCATGAAACCAACTTTAGGCTGTTCTTACAAGTGGGAAATCAGTTTATGTCATTATTAAGGTCAATTTATGGACTCCGCTGAGGTTCAAAGTGAAACGGATGTGACATAGAGTAATAAAAGTTTTTTATAAGCAAAAGCAGGTTTAGGATCACAGTTTATGGAGATCACTTGTGGTAACTGCCAAAGGTATTGAGGATATTGCCAGTTGATACAAGATTGTAACAGAATATGAGGCCAAAATAGATTTCTTCAAATTTAAGACTTAGCACATGTATGACCTACCCAAAGGTTCCCATCACACGAGTTGACACATGTGTATTGACATCACCTGCTAACCTTGCAAGCCCAAAATCTGCAACCTGCAAGGAGAAAATGCATTGAAAAACTGCATAAAATGCATGAACTATGAGGCATAACGCATACGATTTGCTATACACAATTACAGCATGGAACACAAGATATTTTGGTTCAGTAGCCTAAATTCAACAAACAATGACAATACCAAGTCACAAACTTGGATAAATTGGCATACCTGTGCTTCAAAGTTGATATCCAAGAGAATGTTTGATGATTTGATATCCCTATGGATAATGCGGGGATGGCCTGAGAATGACATAATTAGCAAAATTTTAGAGGATAAATCAGTAAAGAAAAATTGCATAAAACAACAATATGCTCTATCACCAAAGAAAGCCCATGGCGAATTACAACTTAAAAGATTGGTCAATTTTAGTACAGTCAAACCTCTCTATAACGACCTCGTTTGTTCCGAATATTTTTCGATGTTATAGCGAAGTGTTGTTATATAGAACATATATTATAACATAACATAAAAATTGGTTCCGGAAAAGCTTGGCTTTTATGGTAAAGTGTTGTTATATGGGGATGTTGTTATAGAGAGGTCTGACTATATTAGTTTTCATCAATAAACAATGCTGACTAGTCAAGGTTTTACATTTCTATACCGAAGGATGACAAAATCAGGCTATTTTGATGGAAAACAAATGCTAAGTGAAGAGCATTTGGTATTTTGCATCTGAACTTCTTTGCAGAAATCTAAAACCGCTCCTCTAACCACTTTGTATCAATTATTCCTTTTATTAAGTATCCTGAAGCCCTAGGCTTTAATGGAACAAGTGGAAATATAAATATAAAAGGAAAGAAGGAAATTCTTTTGATACGGGGGAAAGAGGGAAATTACAGTCTTCATGCAGATAAGCAAGTCCACGTGCTGCACCAGCAGCTACTTTAACTCGGGTAGCCCAATCCATAGTCCCGCCTTTACCTGCAGCATTTAATCAAGTGATAGAAGTTAAGTTGCAATCACATCTGAGAATAGAGAATGTTTATGTTCACTGAAATGTGGCACAACAGAAGGCCAATTGGCTGTAGCCAATGTTAGCAGCTAGTCATGTCTTTGGACATTATTAGCCATGGTAACGAAATAAGCAACTCATCTTGAAATTGTGGAATTGGAGATCTCAATCATAGAAAAGAGAATCTATAGTACAGTAATCCAAGTACTTTAATTCATCAGTTCCTTATTTCACACCGGTCTTACCATGAAGATGATAGTCAAGCGTGTCGTTTGGCACATAGTCGTAGACAAGTAACCTTTGTTGCTCTGAGATACAATAACCAACGAGCGAAACCAAATGACGATGGTGTACACGGCTGNTCTGTCGGAGGTGGTGGTGGAGGAGATTCTGCAGGAGGTGGTGATTTTGACTCTGATGGAGGAGGAGAAGGCGGAGCTGGTGGAGAAGAGGATTGAGGAGGTGGAGCTGAAGAGTCTGGAGGTGGAGGAGGAGATGTACTAGAACTAGAATTTGAAGGTGAAGCTGCAGGGAAAACTGGGAGTGGAACAACAGAAGGGGAAGAATCTGGAGAGGCCATTTTCAATAAAGGTCTCAACTTTAATCATGAATTATGCAGTAATCCTCTAAAATCCACATTGGAATTTCCCAAAACCCCTCATTTGCACACAAATAGTCAAATATCCAAGAATGCAAACCCTTTTTCCCAGATCTTAACTACTGTGTCATATGAAAGCCTCAAATTGAAGTCGCACTACTGGCCAAGAATCAACCTTTCAAGCCAAAACTAGTCCTATAAACCCTATAATTAAACAAAGTTAACCCAGATTAACAGATTCGAAAGAGAAAATGAGAATGCACCAAAACTGAAGTCAGCAGCGCCTAGATTCAGTAGTAAAGGAAAACTTGACAGACCCAGATCCCTCAAATTGTCATTAGGAAAAAGCATAATACAATGTTAGTAGTTCAAAACTCGACTTACCTCTTAACCCACTGCTTTCTCTTAGACTTCTGGGTCTTGCTCAATTACAGGTAGGAGCCTTAGAACATGAGAAATGGTGAAGCTGTACTAAACAAATGAAATGTGGGCAAATGGGGAACGTGGGTGCGACTTCGAAATAGTCGTTTCTTGATTTCGTTTGGTAAATCAGAATCTTGAACAAGAAAGACATAACATGGTGAGGGAGGCCTAGGGAAAAAGACTTTGTGAATAGTGATGGACTCAGCATTTACGTCAAACAAATTAATTATTGTGCGGAATAAAGATAAATAAACATTCTTCTGTGTGTGAACTGTGAAAGAACGTTATCGAGAAGCTAAGTCAAAGAAAACATCATGAAGCCCATGTTCAAGGATGAGTTTTTTTTTCGGTTTTGTGGTCTCTGCACAACAATTGTAAACAGACAATCATTAGTCATAGACCCAACACTACGTTTAGAATATTTTAGTAATTTACTACTTAGTTGTCTTCTCCGACCTTATTCTTTTGTCAGTTTATAACTGTCATTGTCTATGGAAAAACAAATATACGTTGCTATTAGCAGTAATTTATGACTCACTAAATTACTCCCTTAATTACCGGCTACGCGTAAACAATGGCGGTGTTGTGCTTAGGTTTCCTTTTTTACTGTCTTTCATCTTCTCATTTTTTACTCTTTCTTTTTCCTTTTTCGCTTTTGAGCTTAATTTTTGTGTGTAAATACGAGAAAATAAGAAGTTTACATTATCATATCACTAAAAATAAATATGAGACTTTCCATCATAAATGAGATTATAATCATAAAATAAAAGAAGTTACATGCTGTAAAATAATAAATTTTATTTACATTACAAATGTATGTAAGTTAATTCTGGCTTCGAATATCTCCTCTTTTCTCTTTATTTTTTCATGAAGTATATAGGAGTATATACTAACTTGTTAGTATACCATAAAGTTTGTTGAACTAACGAGAGAATAATGCTTTTGCTTTAACAAGGGCAAGAGTAGATGCGGTGAACTGTGCACATTGATGTTGAAAGCAAAGTTGATATATAACTGTCTCAATTTAAAAATAATATAATAAATTTGTAGCATGAAATCAAATATTACAGTTGTGGCAGAAAAATATTTATATTTGTAGCACACAGTTCCATTAAAATAGGAATATTAATTATTAATCTTTAAATATAAGCAATTTGAATGGAAAGTCAATAATTCTTTGTACAAAAATCATGTATTTTTTTCTCTTTATCTATTAGTTTTCCTTCTTTTTTTTCATCTTCTTAATTTTATTTTCTGCCGAAGCCAATATATTTTCTAAATTTGTTCCATTCGTTTTCTTTTTAATTATCTTTCTTAAGTTTTTCTCTTCCTTCTTTCTTCCTTTCTTAACATAAAGATCTTACTTCGATAATAATATACGTTAATATATACAAAATATATATATAAAAATATATATTGAATTAACACATATAAAATATACATAAAAATCCATCTTTAATTAAGATGACACTTAGACATGTGAAATATACATAAAAAATATAGCTTAAATTTAATTAAGATGGCATATAAATATACAAAAAACATATATATAAAAAATACATCCTGAATTAAAATGACACTTGACATATAAAATATATTTGAAATATACATTAAAAATATATTTTAAAATAAGATGGCACTTCACAAATAAATATACAAAAATTATATACATAAAAATATATTTTGAATTAAAGTGATACTTAAATACAAAATATAAAAGACGTATAAATCAATACATCTTGAATTTAGGTGGCATTCACATATGCATTAGATTTTAAAAAATGGAGTGAAGAAGATGAATGTTGGGCTTAATTTTTGTAGTATGCTAATAATGAAAAACAAAAGTGCTATTTATAGAATAAATAATAAATGATGCTATTTTTTAAAATAATAGTTAAAAAAGGATCAAATGTAAAATATATTTATTTTTTTTGTGACATCTGTCATACTGGACTTTACAATGACTTCTTCCTCCTCCTGAAGATTAAGTTTCTACTTTTGAGCTTGAAAACTAATTTGAGAAAAGTTATTTGCTTACAAAATTTTCAAACAAAATTTCGGGTAAAGAAGTTATATTTGAGACACTTTTTCAATCAAACAATCTTCTTTCACTAACCACTTACAATTTATTTTCTATTTTTTTAAAAATAAAAGGCCATAATTATTCAACCAAGTTGTGGCGCAAACCCTTTCCGTATAACGTTTTTCATATTCCCTCGTTTTCTTAGTGACATGTTCTTTTCTGATTAAACAAAATAATCAAGTGAAAGCTCCATTTTGATATGATATATATAATCTCCATCTATGGCATTATTATCATAATCCAACAATTGAAGTAGATGCAGAATGTAAATTCTTTTCTTTTGCCAGAACTAGTGATAAAATTATACTGTAGCAGTCTAATGAATAGTACTATTTTGTACTACGAAAAATCATCATATTCTTCCGTTTGTTTTTATCGGAGTAGGTGGTTGTCGTGAAGAGATCTTTATGCTGAAAAAAATTGCTTTTCAATGGTAAACAAAAAATTACTAGTACTATATTTCAAACACCTATGTCCAACCCCAATTGCTTTCTATCCACATTGGAAAAATGACATATTATCTAGATGGTCTTCTTGTTTGCAGTTTGAGTTATTCCATTTTCCTTTACATCGTCATTAAAGCATCGGACAAGTCTCAAGTCACCCTCTGATTATTTTTCCCTTTTTCCTTTTCAATAAAACCAGGCAACTTTTAGTCTTTTACTGTCTTTCATTAAAAAGAGAAAAGTCCCAAGTAAATTTGGGTAACATAAAAAGTTCAAACATTAGAAAATGTAAATGATTTTAGATTACTTCATGTTTGTTGCCCAATATATTTAAATGTTGTCACATCAATATTTTTCGATTTGCTTATTAAAAAAAGAAGAAAAAATAAAATTGTTATTGCATAATTGAGCAATTCTCACTATCCCACTTCTTCCTTCCCTTTCCAAGATCTCATATGTAATATAGAAACTTATAACCCAAAAAAATTACGTGTGTATGCAAATGTATCAAAGTGTGCACGACATTTCATTCTATTTGTATATTTTACAATCATTTGGGAAAAAAAAAATTGTAAAATCAATTCTCTCTAAGCATCTCTAATAGCCAATAGTTTTTTCATGACGTGTGGTATGAAGTTTGAGTTAATGCAAAAAATTCAGAGGGCACCTCTCTTTTATTTGTTGTCACTTCGCTGGAGGGAGTACGTGCTGTCCACCAAACCATGAATTAAAGAAATTGAAATGCAAACATTTCTAAAAATAAATAAGAAATTTTTGCAAAAGCACATCAATATCAAAAGATCTCACCAGGAAAAAAAATAATGATTTATAATGCAGCAACCGTTGGCAGTTACACCAGAATCCTGCCCTCTTTCTCCATCTTGTCATATATTATATTATGTCCAGTTACAACTAGGCAAACATAGGCACCAGCTAACATTTTAGGTTGGCCCCCTGAAGGCCTAATTTTTCTTGCATCAGAAGGTTGCAATTACACTTATATTGTTGGAACCTACTACTATAAAGAGAGAAGAGGAGAAGTTTGTACTCGTCTTCTTAATAGAGTAGACGAGCTTTGTCTTTATTTAGTTTTGTGTTTTCGCTTGATTTTCTGATTGGTTTGTTTGTCACTGCCCCTTCCCTTTTATCTCTCCTGAGCCGAAGGTCTACCGGGACAGCTTCTCTATATTTTTAAAGGTAGGGGTAAGGTCTGCGTACACACTACCCTCCCAGACCCCACTTGTGGAAACACACTTGGTTTGTTGTTGTTCATAATAGAGGAGGCAGCATATTTGCTCGCAATAGCAGGGACATCCTTCTACAAGGAGTCTCATCCAACACCACTTTGCAGACAAACATTCACTAAATATACATGTAAACCAATGCAAAATAAACATCAATTTGGGCCAAAATGGTAAAGCCTTAGAACCTCTACATTTTCGGACTCAAAACTCACATACAAATCGACTTGTGATAATAGGTCGACGCTGCTTGTATAAAATAAATTTTGTGTGTGCTACTGTTTGCACGAACAAACTGTGTAACCTAGTCAATCAGACCACTTGGCTCCATAGGTGGTCGTTCAAATGGCATTTGGCTTAGTGGATAAGTGCCAATTGCATAAGCATCTATAGGTTCAAGACATGTAACATAACAGAATGTAGCAGCAAGAAAATTCTAATTAGAAACTCTATTAATAATGATGCATATTTCATGTTAAAAAGCCTCAAGAAATGGCCCAGTGTAAAAAGCATGAGCATTGTGACATTGGTCAATAATAAACACATTGTTATTCTCACTGTGTTACTCATGCCAAATTTATTGAAGTTTCCTCAGACAAATGGAAATGATCAACCCTTTAAGAATAACAAACTAAAAAGCATAATTAGCAAACCTCTCAAATTTAATGCTCATCATTTTCTGCTATGAATCCACCACAAGAGATTTGAGAGTGAATTTCCATCATCATGATTGCTCAGGTCCCTCACTTTCTTTAGAGCTTGCTTCATTCTATAAATAGCTTCCAAGGC